CACATGGAATGCTCTCCAAGATAGACCATATTTTAGGCAATAAGACAATTTTCAGCAAATTGCAAAAATAGTGCAATCATTCAAAGTACATCTCATCACGTGGACTACAACTGAAAATCAGTACAAGAGATTTCTGGGAGATCCTCAAATATTTGGGAATTGTGTAGTATGTACAATTTTTTAGTATATACAGTATTGTAACTAACCCATGGATTAACCCATGTGTAGTATATACAATATTGTAAATAACCCATGAATCAAAGAGGAAGGCAGAAGGGAAATGGGAAGACATTTTGAATTGAATAAAAATTAAAACAAGACATCAAAAAAAATTTTTAACATGAAATTTTAAAAATTTTATTATTAATTTAATGAATACTTTATTTTTGTATTTCAATAGAACTAGCTTTATTTCTTATTTAACTTTTTTCTTTTTAAAATCATTTTATTGGGGGCTCATGTAACTCTTAGTCCATAATCCATCCATTGTGTCAAGCACATTTGTACATTTGTTGACATCATCATTCTCAAAACATTTTATTTCTACTTGAGTCCTTGGTATCAGCTCCTCATTCCCCTCCCCCCACCCTCCCTGGCCTTCTCCCTCACGAACACTTGATAATTAATAAATTATTATTATTTTGTCATAACATCAAACTTTTGAGATGTAGCTAAAGCATTATCTATTGAGATGCTTATAGCATGAAATATGCGTATTATAGAAAAAGTCTCAAGTGATCTCAGTTTCCACATTAAGAAACCTAAGCCCCAAATAAACAGATGCATGGAAATTAAATAAAAGCAAAGCAAAAATCAATGAAATTGAAAAAAGAAGAAAATAGAGAAAATTATTGGAACCAAAAGCTGGTTCTTAAAAAGATGAATAAAACGGATAAGCCTGTGGTCTGACTGCAAAGAAAAATCTAAAACATGTGTTGCCAATATCAAGAAAAAAAAAAGATGCTATTACATCTTCTACAGGCATTGAAAAGACAATAAAAGAATACTGTGAACACCTTTATGCCTATAAATTAAATACTTTGATGAAACTGAGACATCCCCCCTTTTTAAGAAACATTGATTTTAATTTTTCTGAAATCTGGAACTATGAAAAACAAATTGAATATGTGACCATGCTAAAGGCAAAATATAGTTAAAAATAACACTTGAAAACCATGTTGAACCATAAAAACATGGTTTAAATAAAGTATACAAAGTTATTTGAAACATCCTTTCAAAATAAGCTTACTGAAGCACAACATTAGAGTTCTTTAACTGGCTTAATTTTTTTCAGATAAACAATTAAAAAAAAAAATTAAGTACTCAGTCCTGCCCTGGAACCTTGTAATTTGTAAAAGAGCATACTCAAATGTCAGTGAAAGTGAAATTTGCAAGCCGGAAAACAAAGATTTCAGAGAGTTTAAATCCCAGCACAGCATGGTTATTTTGGAGCTTGTCACATCCAGGTTTTTCCCACTGCAGATAAAGACAAAGGAGACGGCAAGTGCATGAACTACAAATCCTTCTGTAGGTAGCGCTTTCACAAAGAAAAAGGCCTCGGCACAAGAGTTGCGTGTTCTGTAGACCTTTTATTCCCAGAGCTCTTTTGTCTTACACAGTCAAAATAGAGGTGTCTTTGTCTCGGAGCTAGTCTGCTGCAGAAGGCACCACGTTCCTTTCTTCCCTGTTCACCCAAGCTCATTGCCATCGATTCCCCCTCACAGCAACCTCATACAGCAAGCTAGAACTGCCCTTGCCAGCTTCCAAGGCTGTAGATTGTTATGGGAGCCGACAGCTTCATCTTCCTCCTGGAGAATGGTGGGCTCAAACTGACAAACTTGTAGCTACTGGCCCAACTGCGAGCATGTCATCAGGAGGGCTGGACGTCGCACTTGGGGGGAGGGTCTTCAAGGAGGTGAGCTGACACAGTGGCTCAGACCAATGACATGGTGGTAAGAATGATGTCCTACAACTGGGCAGGTATGGTGCCTCGAGGATCAGTTTGAGTGGGAACCAACTGGGGGACAATGAACCTTTAAAACCCATCGATGCTAATTTCACAGCTCATTCATATTCTCAACCTGGACAGCTTTAGTTTGCCCCCATTTTTGGTGTCTTTTCTAGACGTTTTCATTCTTTTTATCTGGCAGAACTTGAAATAATTTTCAAATCCAAGAAACTTTCCATTTAAATCAGTGCAACCCCTAAGGTGTAGACATAAAAATATTCTTCTCTCATAGAAATCTGTGATCTGTCAGCCTAGGATCGCAGAATTCCTCCCACTCACAAAGACACATTTTCAGGCTGAGCAGATTTAAACAAAGGGTTTCACACCCAACTACTGGTGTTAGGGAAATACTTAATTTGGTCTGGCAGTTTTTCCAGGTAGTTAGCCCAAATACCAAAATTCACTGAAAGATAAAGATAACCTGAATAATTCTAAATCTAGCAAAGAATTAGAACTTGCACTTTAAAAACCTGAGCCCCCTGGTCTAGATGCCTTCACTGAGGGAGCCTACAAAAATATAAGGAACAAATTCTACACAAACTCATCCAAAAAATACAAAAGGAAAGAACACTTCCCAACTCATTTTTGCAGCTTAAATCAACCTGATACCCGAACCAGGCAAAGACATTGCAAGAAGATGCTGGACAATGCTCTTGGTGAACATCAAGCCAGAAGTACTCAACAGACTAGAAATCAAAGCCATCAGTTACTAGTTGACATGGAGTTGATGCTAACTCATGGTGACCCTGTGAGTGTCAGAGTAGAACTGTGCTCAGTAGGGTTTTCAATTAAACAACCAGGCCTTTCTTATATGGGGAGTCTACAACCTTCAACCTCTCTACAAGTCTACAAGTCTTCAACACTCCAAATGAGCATGCCAACCATTTGTACCATTCAGGGATACCGTCAGCTGAGTCCAGGCATATATAAAAAGAGTACTATATCAGGAGCCAGGAGGATGTAACCCATGAAGGCAAGATTGAGTTAACACTCAAGGCTTAATCACTATAGTTTATAGCATCAAGAGAGGCTATAAAGAGAAAATGCCATTGTAATATGTGCAAAGAAATTATTTAACACAACTCATCATCTTTTCCAGATAAAACTTTTCAACAGGCTAGGAGTTCCCTTCTGAGAACTCTGAGAGAGTTTCTGAGAACTACGTCAGCCTAAAAATGGCTTTAAAAAGCTCTCTGACCATCCTGGCCAAGGGAGCAGAGGAGGTAGAGGTGATCATTGCTGTATGGATATCAACAGGAGAGCCAGAACTTGCTCACCATTGAAGTCTGACTAGAAAGATCCAGTACAGAGTAACCAAGAAGTACACACACACACACACACACACACACACACACACCCATATGATGGTTCTGCTGAAAGGTAGTCCGGGTACACAGAATTTATCCAGCCTGCTGGGGAGAAAGGGTTCGCGAAGGCACAAAGGAGTAGGGAAAGACATCACCACCAGCCGTGTGGGTCCTATGGCTCTCTTGACTTAGGAAATAGAATTTAGAAGCAAAATTCTAACACACACTTGCTGAAGACAAAAAGGATACATGGGAATCGTGACAGATCCTCAGAGAATCATGGCCTTACAGGCCATGGTCTGGACCAGTTTCATGTGTGCTGCTGCTGTGTTTGCCACCCTGCAGCAGGGCATCGTGCTTGGTCAAAGCGAAGGGCAGTGAAGGAGGAAGGCCCTTTGAAGACCCACACCATGGCAGCAACAATGGCTCAAGCACAGGGCCACTTGTGAGGGTGGCACAGCTGGGGCAGTGCTTCCTTCTGTTGTGCTCGGTTTGCTCTGGGTCAGAACCAACCAACCCAATGGCCCCCAACAACAACAACAACAACAACAACATGATATTGAAATTAATCTAGTTGGTCATGACCAGCATTTTACTTTTGAAGGAATAGAGTAGAAAGGAAACTATGGCACTGGTATGAAGGCTAAGTACTGATTTCGTACTTTTATTTCTGGCATGTGTGTGCGTGTGTAGTGGTTTGAGAGATGAAAGGTGTTTCTCTGGGTTTCAGCTACGACACTGGAGCACTGCCTATGACTGTTAGCCTGCCTGTTTTGCGAACACCCAAGAGGGTGCACGGGGTTTCTTCCGAGAACTTCCTTTTTGTATATCTTTGCAATGCTGGCATCTTCTAAATCTGAACCCTGCTATTCTCAGGAAAGTCTTGCCTACTGTTCTGAAAAAGTAGGTGCCTTTATTAGGCTAATCATGACCTTTAAAAAAAAATCCCTAGAGCTGAAGTGTATCAAACGTTTCCTTTGAAGCTACTCTAAATTTTATTTTGTACACCTTTGTCAAAACTTCTTTAGAAAAAAGAAAACTAAGCAAGTAAATAAACTATAATGACCATTTGCTTTGTGGGGAAGCATTAGCCTTCACATTGTGCTCACATCTTTCCACTTACACTCTCGGAAAGCCACAGAGCCGTCTCCTCTGTCCTATAGGGCCACTATGAGTCAGCCTCCACTCAATGGCCGGGAGAGTGCGTTTCTCTACCTGGAATTAACACACTTCCTTTTTCTTCAGTTTAAATACGTAAAGTCCATGTTTATGCCACTTTACGCTGCTTTTTCTGGTCGTAGTTAAAGCAGCTTTCCATTAATTCTGAGGTTTCTTCTGGTTGTAGTGATCAAATGTGATTACCCAGTAGTCGTGAATGGAGAGATGGTGGGGGGACGTCAGACAAAGTATTACTACAAGACCAAGGTTAAGTTTGAATGCCTGAAGGGCTTTACCATGACTGGAAACAACATCATTACTTGTGAAGAAAATAATAAGTGGGATCCCCCAGTTCCAGTATGTCTCAAAGGTATGGAGATCGCCTTTTTTCTTTCTTATTCCCCCCTTTTTTAAGCATTATTTCATTGACAGTGATGTAGGATGATTGAAAATAAGCCACTTTCATATTTGGTGTTAGTCATTTCAGGGAGTCCTGGCCATGCAAGTGGGTAAGCATTGCTACTAAGCACAAGACAGACAACTCCAACCCACCCACGGTACGGTGGGGGAAATGAGACAATCTTCTCCCATAAAGGGTTACGCAAACCTTACAGAGGAGCGCTGTGATGCCACAGAGGGGTCACTGTGAGGCAGAGTCAACCTGATGGTGATAGCGGTTTGGGTATTCATTTGCATGACAGATGCATGACATAAAAATTCATGTGCAATTTGGCTATTGCAGTTGTCATAGGGGCAAGCTACATAGTTCACCTTGGTGCATGGATTCCCTATTTTTATGTACACAAAGTAGGTACCAAGCTTTCAGTGTAAGTTGGAGCAGGAACATTGTTTTAACTTGAGCAACTGGAGCATGAAAGCCATAATTCATATGGGCGGAGGGGTTACCCCAAAAAAACTGGGGGAAAACTCTGCTGGGCGGAGCTTTCATAGTACGCATTTTTCTCGCTGGGCGAGCCTCAGACATCTCGCTCTGAGTTAGTGCACCCAGCAACGTTGCCTGGGAAGGTTCGCTCAGGTCACAGTGAATTTTTCCGTACAAGCGGTTTCGCTGGAACCTCGTTTGTGATGGCCGATTTCAGAGAACAGCCTGCCGCGGTGAAACGTTGTTGCCTGCTCTGGAAAAGGGCCGCAGAAACCGCCGAGATGTTGAACACCGCTTACAAGGGCGGCGCTAGGGGAAAAACTCCCGTGTACGGATGGTTTCCTCATTTCAGAAAAGGTGAAATGTCGATTGGTGACAAACCTCATTCTGGACACCCGTCAACTTCCTGAAAGGACGAAAATGCCCACACAATCCATGCACTTGTGCTCGAAGACCGACGACGGACCCTTGACGAGAGGGGGGAGTTAGCTGGACGGTTGGAGCTCGGTTCGGTGAATTTTAATGGGAGCGTTAGGATGAGAAGAGTCGCTGGGAAATGTGTCTGACTGACCAGCGAAAAGACGTCGAGTGGAAACATGCCCTGCTTTGACAGAAAAGCTCCGAAGAGACCCAGACTTTTTCCCCAAGGCCATGACAGGTGACAAGACATGGTGCTATTGTTATGACCGCGAAAGCAAACGTCAATCAAACCAGTAGAAGACGCCATCATCACCTCGCCCCCAAACAGCCTGTCAAGTCCTGTCAAGTGAAATCAAAGATCAAGAGATGCCCATTTGTTTTCCTGTTGTGGAGGGGACAGTGCGTTTGGAGTTCTTTCCACCAGGTCAGAGTGCTCATCAAACTTTCTGTGTAGAGGTTCTGAAAAGATTTCTTAACAGTGTGTGACAAAAAAGGCCTGATTTGTGGCAGACGGGGGGACTGCTTTTGCCACCATGATAATGCACCTGCTCACGCAACCATCTCAGTGTGCCAGTTTGTGGCAAAGAGACGGCATGCCTCTCTTGCCCCATGCACCTTACTCACCAGACCTTGCTCCATGCGACTTCTTTTTGTTTCTACAAATAAAGAGGGACATGAAAGCCGTGATTTGACGACCCAGAAAAAAAGGTGAAGAAAAAATATCTAGGGAGTGCTGTCAGCCATCCAAACACATGAATTCGAAAAATGTTTCCAAGAATCAAATCACAGATTTGACAAATATAGCCAATATAATGGAGAGTACTTTGAAGGTGATAGGTTGTTTTGTAAAAAAAAAATTAAATACATAGCTTTGGGGGGTGGGGACCCAGGTTTTGGGGGGTACACCCTCATCTACATGATACGAGAGCACTTACTTCCAAGTGTTTGACCCCATCTACATTATTTTGTTTTTCAGTGCCAACTCTTTCCATACAGAAAGCCCAATTTTGCCTCATCCAAGTTTTATAATTTCCTACTTATTATAATTTTCAACATTTCTTTAAATTCTTGGTGGAAATGCCAGCAGTCCCTCCCAAAGGTCTGACCCAGTCTGTATTTTTGTTTTATTTTACAGTGCCAAGCCCTCCCAGAATACCTCCAGTTTTGATTCTTACAGGTTTTGTAATTTCCTCCTTATAGTTTTCAAATTTCCTATAAATTCTTGCTGACAATGCCAGCAAGAACGCCCCAGTGTCTGACTCAACTGCATTTTTGTTTTCTATTGCAGTGACAACTACTACCACTAGAAAGCCTCCAATTTTGATTCTCACAGGTTTTGTAATTTCCTCCTTATGTTTTTCAAGTGTTCTTAAAATTCTTGGTGAGAAATCCCAGCCAGATCTCCCAAAGGTCTGACCCAGTCTGCACTTATTTTTATGATCTTGTTTTGTTTTGCAGTGTCAGCCACTCCCACTACAAAATCTACGGTTTTGGCTCATACAGGTTTAGTACCACCCTTCTGTGTTGTTTCATTTCCCCTAAACCTTTTCATTGCTGCTGACTTCATTCCTTTTTTCTTTTTTAAGTATAGATTAATTATTTTTTTTGCATTCGTCATTTTTACTAATAGAAGGAGGAAGGCAAATTGTCACCAGCATATATATATTTTTAGTTGTTAGACTTAACGATTCTAACGTATATACCACAGTGTGCAGATACAAACAGATATGCAAAGTTCGGTAAGCTTGAGATGTGTTTTCACACCTGTAAAATGATGTAGAACCTTCCTTGCTGTGCAGTGTTGTTGTGTGCTGTCTAGCCGATTCTAACTCACAGTGACCGTCATACGACAGCGCAGATCTGCCCGCTAAGGTGCAGTCTGTCCCAAGGAGCCCTGCTGGTGCAGAGGCTAAAACAGCCAGCTCCTAGCCAAAAGATTCGTAGGTAAAACTTATCAGCCATTGTATGAAAACAAGATGTGGCAGTTTGCTGCCATGGAGACTGGACACCCTATTGGGCAGTTCTGTCTTTTAGGGTCAACAAGAGTCAGTATCAGCATGATGGCAACAGGTATCTTTATGGGAGGAGCACTTAAAGGTCACGAGTCTGATTTATTTCACCACTTGAACGAATATCAGTGAAAAGAAACTTCCATAATTACTGGTTTCTGGTATGTGTGTTATCTATCCTCAACATTGCTACTTTGGTGATTTTTTTTTTTTTCAAAAGCCACCTTCATTGGCTGTCCCCCTAGTCCAGGGCTGTGCTTCATTCTTTAGAATGCAACTAGTTTAATTCCTTTCAACTGGAGCATTCAACCTGGGAAGTTTTAATGTCTCCAGAACAATTCCTGGATTTCTTCTCCACATCCTCCTGCTGCCTACAATTGTTCTTTTTTCTAATTGCTGAGCGATTTTCTTTGGCAACAGAAACGAAATTTCAAAGCAACTGAAAAGACTGGGAGAGTCCTGATTGACTGAAATGAATGGAGGGTTCCTTGCGGGCACTGTTGTTGCTCAGTGATACTCCAATGAGAAGCAGAGGTTCTTCTGATGGGCTTGACGCGATGATGTCCCTGATTTCAGTGCTGCTCTCTCTCGCTTCACCTTGGTGGTAGCAGGAGTAGACAAAGAATTAGTGGGAGAGCCTAAGTTGGGGCAGACCCTGCTCAGGGTCCAAGGTTGGCTCTGCTAACTTAAGTCTTATCATTTGTGGCCTGTAGTTTCTCTCGGATTTAATGAGGGTGTTGAACACAAAGAAATGTCAATTTGGCCTGATTCATTTATGCACTTTCCATCACCCCAACATGTAAATGAGTCATTTGAAGGAAGGAGGGAAATTGCCCACCTTAGCATGGCATTTAGAAAGCTGTTATCCTTCTTGTAAACGTTGTAACTGATAGCTGCTAGGAGTATACCTTAATTAAATTAGCATAGGGCTGGAATTTTGGTGGATCAGTATAAGAACAAAACTAAGATTGTACATAAAATTTGTACACATTAACCCACCCAGGTTTGCTTGCATGCTCCTCACGAGTATATACCTAAATTTGTTGAACCTGGTGCTTGACAAAGGTGACCATGGACTTTTCATAAAGGACTTACACAACACCGAGGAGAAAAGAGCAAATAGATGGTGAGCAAAAGCTTACAAAGAAGGGAAGTTATAGAAACCTTTAAATAAATCCTCAAGGGATTGTCAATCATTTTTTTAATCCTCAGCTGGAGAAAGAGTATGTCAAAAGTATCAGTCGCAGCATATAATGATGATGGGTAGATCTCAATGTACTCACAGAAATATATTAAGTGGGGAATAAGAAGGTGTAGATTATGTTGTCTGATTCCACCCTAGAGTTTTGAGGTTTGCTTAAAACAGACATAGATTTACCTGAACACGTTGCTTGTGGGCAAGCACTCGCTGATGAACAGAAGGTCAGTGAGCGATTCGAACCCAACCCGCGGCACTGCGGGAGAAAAGACCAGGCACTGCGCCCATCAAGATGAGAGTGGAGGGAAGCCGATGGGGCAGTTCTGTCATACAGGGTCTCTGTGAGTCAGCTGAGACTCCCGGGCACACAACAACAACAACTTCTAGGATTTCCATTCTAAGGTAGAGAAGCATAGTCAACGTGTTTACCATCTTTGCCCACTTGTGCAAATGAATACTCAGGCGATATTCCCAGAAGTAGAATTGCAAAGTTTGGAGACTAAGTTTGTTGTTTTTGTTAAGCGAACATCTTCAAAAATTTAAAATTAAAGCTATGGTTTTATGTTGATGAAGCTGATTAAATTTATCCTTTTATCTTTTTCCAGATGCTCTTACTACTACTACTAGCAGACCCGACCAAACAACCCTTTCAGGTAGAGTAACAGCACAGCCTCACTTGGGTTGGTCATGGACTTATGTGGTAGACAGGTGCAAAGCTGAGTTCTTATTTTAATTTGCCTTGCTTCCATTTTCAATTCATTTCATTGATTTTTCTGTTCTGCATTTACTGCAAATATTTCCTTTTCTGTGAGCTGTTTATTCATGTATTTTGCCCAAAGCTATGTATAAGAGTAGAAAGCCTCCTCTTTCTCCTGCAGAGTGGGGCTGGTGGTTCCGAACTGCTGACCTTTCAGATCTCACCCCAATGTGTAACCAGTATGCCACCAGGTCTCCCTCTTATAAAAGTACATAGAGTGAAAAATTAGTTCTCCAAGTTCGTTACTTGAGTTAACAACTGTTAATAGTTTAGAGTTCCTTTTAAATCTATTTCAGTAGTTGAGATTTTTGTTTGACATACTTCGGTAGTTTGGAACTCCTGGGTTCTTTGCATTTTAGTCATTGGTACATCTGAAATTCATTATACTATGTGGAATGAGATAAGGTTCCTCACCCCACCGCTTCCGATTTTGTGCTAAACAGTCCCAGTTGTTGATTAAGTTGTCTTCTCTTCCATTAAAGTGACACGTTTTTCTGTACATTAAATTCATAGTTGTTCTCGTTTCCTTTCTGCCCCTTTGGACTCACTTATTCCTGTGCCAGTAGTACGCAGTCAATTACCACGTACTATGCTATGTAGTACTGTCTGACAGAACATTTTCTTCTCAGACATTTTGAGGCTAATATCTGGTTAAATTTTCCAGGTCACTTTAAAATCTCTGAGTAAGACCTCTCCTAGCTGTGTGTCTTAATTACCAGGGCCGTGGCCATGCAGTGAACTGCAACTCCCGGTCACGGGGGTCATTCCGTGCAAAGATGGATCTGGGGACATAATAATGATATGCTTGCTTGCCATCCACACCACAGAGCAACGGCACAGGGACTGGTGAGCGGCAGTGAGAAGAAGGCTGATGGCAATCAGCGTAAATTGAAAACATTGTAGGAAATGCCATTCAATGGCAGCATTTAATACATCCCTACAAAGATGAAAGGGAAAAAAGCATTTTATGAATTGAAAGGCTTTAAAGCTTATTTATTTTTTTCTTTATGGAATTTTAGGAACTATAGTAGTACAAAGAATTCCCTAAATGTTAACAATTTTTTTTTAACATTTTATTAGGGGCTCATACAACTGTTATCGCAATCCATACACACATCAATTGTGTAAAGCGCATTTGTACATCGTTTCTCAAAACATTTTCTCTCCACTTAAACCCCCAGCATTAGGTCCTCATTTTTCCCCTCCCTCTCTGCTCCCCCCTCCCTCATGAGCCCTTGATAGTTTATAAATTGTTATTTTGTCATATCTTGCCCTGTCCAGTCACATATAGTCCCTTGTAATCGGTTCCCCCTTTCCAACCCACTCTCCCTGTTTCTCCACTCACACCACTGGTCCTGTAGGGGTCATTTGCCCTGGATTCCCTGTATTTTCAGTTCCTGTCTGTACCAGTGTACATCCTCTGGTCTAGCCAGACTTGCAAGGTCGAATTCGAGTCATGGTAGTAGGAGCTGGGAGGAAACATTTAGGAACTAGAGGAAAGTTGTATTTTTCATCGTTGAATGTTAACAATTTTTAAACATTTATTTTGAATTGTATCTCTTCCTATGGCTCTGTTCATCTTTTCTAAACCAATTGAGATTAAGTTGATATATTACTCTTTTACATTATCTTACATAATTGTAGTATAAGTAATAAAATCAAGAAATTAGTATTAATATAATGCTATTGCATGATCTATTATTGTCATTAGTTGCAATTGAGTTGATTCAGACTCATTTTTTACTTAATCCATTTTCTCTTTTCTCCCCCTCCAGGGTCAACTTCTTTCACTGAAGTTCCACCAGCCTCAAACATTCTAGGTTTAGTATTACTTTGGTTACTAATAAACTTATGAAAACTAGAGTTGTCTATAGAACTAATATATCCTAATCACTTGGGTAAGAAAGACTGTGTCACAAATTCCTGATGATACCTGACATTTAGAGAGTTATTTGAAGTGGTACTATTGCCAGAACCCATATAAGTGGTCAAAACAAACTACGAGTTGTTGAATGGAAAACAGATTTCCTGTGTAAACTTTCATCCTCTTCATAGTAAAAAGTTAAGGTAGTGTGTGGAAAACACTTAGATAATAGTTTTTAAGGAAGCACCTCAACCTGTGAGTTACCTTAGCTGGGTTCCACCTTAAGCAAACAGCCCCTGCAGAGTCAGTGCTGACTCATGGTGACCTCCTTTGTGTCTCCCAGACTGTGACCCGAAAGTAGAAAGCTGCGGGTGGTTTTGAACTGCCAACCATGCACATTGCTGCCCATCGTTTAACCACGATGGGCCTTAAGTGGTCCAGATGGCTTACTTTTCAACTACTGACTCACCCAAAAGCTGGGAGTTGAGGTCCACCCAGAGATGCCGTGGGAGGCGGGTCTGGCAGTCTGCTGCTGAACAACCAGGCATTGACAACCCTGTGAAGCCCAGTCCCACTTTGGCAAACTCGGGGCTACCAGGAGTTGAAGTCAACCCAAAGGAGACAGGTAGTAGGACAAGGGGACTTTCCTAAACGGTATGGTTAGACACTTGTCACGCACTGTCACAGAGTGGATTCTAATTCATCTTGACCCTATGTAGGGTTTCCAAGGCCGTTGTAAGCTTTCTATCTCCGTAAAGAGCTATTGTCTCAGAAACCCACAGGGACCCTCCCGCCCTGTCCTACAGGGTCACTGTGAGTTGGAACCAACTCCAAAGTAGTGACTGCTTAGTCTGTACTCGAGCAGATCGCCTCCTCATGCTGCCTACGAGCAGCCGGTGGGTTTGAACCACGGAGCTGTGGTTAGCAGTCAACACTGACCCCACAGCAGCAGTGGGGCTACAATCACTACTCGGGGTTGAACCAGAATGAACCCGTTCAAAGCCTTGCCCAGTATACATATATATATATTATGGCTCCTGCAGATAAGATGAATAGAAAGAAAATTCACTTACAAGTTGCCATCTCACACACACAGACAGACACAACTTGTTTTTCTTGTGGCAGTGTTGATGGCAATTTGTAGATCAGTGTTTGCTGTAATCAGATTATGTCTGCATGAGCCTTAACAGATACACTGGGCTGAGGTTCATTCGGGTTCCACCCCTTCCTGAGATCTGGGGCTGTTGTTAAAATGCAGATTCTGGCTGATTCAGAAGGAAATGCAAAGTCCCAGCAGGGCTTTGAAACCGGGATGGGCTGATTTGAGGCTGTGATGCTGGGTTCCCTTGTTTTCCCCCAGAGTAATCCACTTCATGTCAGTTTACTCCATTCGCACAACGTGTGTTAAGAGAAATGATAAAATGTAGCAGTGACCGTGAAAATTCGATGAAATAGAAAGGTTTCTCGAGAAGTAAACAAAGACGAGCTATTGCTTTGCATTCCTTTGACAAGTTTAGTGACTGTTAGTCATTGTATAAAAGGCACCCTAAGCTGACTGTTGAGCCCTGCTGACTTGGTTACACGTTGGACGGCAGTTTGAAGCCACCAGTTGCAGCCCCAGAGAAAGAGGAGGCTGGCTACTCCCGGACAGTCACAGTCCCGGAACCCACAGGGGCATTTCTGCTCTGTCCTGTAGGGCTGCTATGAGTCAACATGGACTCTGTGGCGCTGAATTTGGTCTTGGATTTGAGAAGCTGAGTTTTAGTAAACCCATCACAATCACGCAGGGGCAGTTCTATTCCTGACCCAAACGTCCGCTCGGCAGGGACTCACTGGAGTGGGTTTTGGTTTGTTAGGACGCACGGTCAAATTGCCAGGGTGCTACCTTCAATGGTTAGACACTTGGAAATTGTTTATAAAATGCAAGGTCAGAGTTCCACGTGACAGTGAAATTTATGTTGTGCCCTGTAGCCATTTTAGAAGCAAAAGGTACTACTGTAAGAAACACGCCAACGCCTAACTTAGTACCCTCTGAATAATGAAGCCTGCCTGTTCTAAGTTCCTCTGAATCATTTATACCCAAGTGCCCTGGGGTTCCATTTACATACTTTAAAGGGAGTCTCCTTGAGAACCACAACTTCGCCTTCATTCACTTAAGGAAAAGGGGTGGGGAGGGCCAGGGGTTGATGCTAAGATAAAGTTTGATTTGTAAAGAATCTGAAAATCCTGTCTGTATTCTAGGTGAGTAGACATACGATTTTTTGTTTGCAGTCAATTTTAAGGAAAAATGTAAATTTCTCACCAAACATAAAGAATGACATTACACTACGCTAAGCCTACTGTAATGGGATGGCCCTTTGTCTTCGTTTGCTATTACCTACAAATCCGGCAACTTCCAGCTCTGCTGGTGACCTTCACTGACTACCCTGTGTGTTAGTGACAGCGCAGCACAAGGACATGCGTGGTTCCTAGCAAGACCTTCCCATGTTGGACCCGCAGCCTGGAAAGGCCCAGGTGTCTGTGATCAAAATGAACTGGATATACGAATCATCTAACACTAAAAGATTGGTTCTTTTCATTTGTTTGAGATGAATCCAAGTCCATTTCAATTTACTGTTCCTCCGTGTTTTTGTTTTTTAAAGCCATTCAGACCACTGTTTGGTTTGAGTGATAAGGAATCTAGAGCGTTTCTCTTTGTTTGTTTGTTTTTAAAGAAACATATTCACACAGCCCACCTCAAGAAATGAAATCCACAGTATCCTATTCAATCCTCCGTGTATATGGTTTCTTTTTCCCTCTCCCTGTGTCCTTCCCACTCCTGCTCCCCCGCCTATGACCTGTCCCTTCCCTCTCTCTGTTATTACCCTGTACCTGGTCTCCTCAGTCGTCAGAGCCTTGTGTATTGCTATATAAGCATGGTTCTTTTTCATTGTTTTTCCTTACACCTATTTATTAGCTGTTTTATGATTTATCTTTTTAAGAATGACTGAGTTTGCTCAGCACAGTGTTCTCCAGTTTTGTGCACCTCTTGCAATGTTCAAGACTTATCGTTTTCCTATTGATGTTCCATAGCGTGACTGTGCCAGAGCTTACTTATCCATTTCTCTTGCGTTAGGCCAGGCTAAGTAGAGAAACAAATTCAGAGACACCCATGTGATAGTTAGGTTTTTTTGTGCCAACATGGCTCCCGTAGGAACATGTGGGCAGAGTTGAGCCTGTCAATCAGGTCGCAGCTTGATTGGAGGGCGATGGAGATATATGACTCTCCGGGGCGGGCCTCTTCCTCTTTCTCCCTGGAGGTGGGCCATACACACTCTCTGCTCTGCCTTCCTGTTGGTGACCCATGTGCTGAGACCTGCCAGAGGCTTGTAATGCTTCCACCGCCATTGAAGCCACAAGACTCTGCACCCACCGGCCTGTGATCGTCCTGCATTCTCCATCATTGCATGTAGCTGTGTGAGTCGAAGAGGGGTTTATAAATTATTCGTATTGGACTTATGGACTTGATTTGGAATGGGCTGGGATGCTTTCTTGATAGCCAATCACTCCTTGATAAAGCTCTTTCTTACACATATATGAGTGTCACTGGATTTGTTTTTCTGGTCAACCTGTTCTAACACTTTATGGCACCTTGGGAGTGGGGTACTAGAGAAACAATATTCCCATGTTTTTGCTGTTATGGAAATTGCTGCAATAAACATAGGTGTGCGTATGTCTGTTCATGTTGTATTCTTGATTTCTTTAGAGTATATACCCAGATGGACTCAAAAACCAAACTCACTGCTATCAAGTTGATGGCAACTCATAGCAACCCTATGGGACAGGGTCGAACTGGCCCTGTAGGTTTCCAAGCCTATTAATTGTTTACCGGAGTAGAAAGCTTCCTCCTTACCCTGAAGAGCCGCTGGTGGTTTCAAACCACTGACCTTTCCAATCACAGCCCAATACATAATCACTATACCCAGCAGTGGCCCCTGTATACCCAGATAGGTAGACTCTTTTTTGCTGTCGTTCTGAAGAGATGTGGTGTGATGTGCTCTCTAAATGCTATTCCCTTTTTCCCAGGTGGAGGCAGCATCACTCTGATTGTTATTGCCATTGGTAAGTACCCCACACTTGGAAACCCGCTTAAATCGGACTTTCCATTCACTACGAGATCTGGTGTTGGTTTTGTTACCGCTTTTCAGTTGTTATCCTTTTGAAAGCTTGAGCTTCAATAAACCAATCTAGCAAACTCTGAGCTTTCCTCTAGCCACACCCATGGGAGGGATTGTAAATGGCGTGGTACTCCACATGCCACTCAGTTAACAATGACTCTTCACCACAACCAAGTCATGTGGGTTCCCTTCCCAAGTACCCCTTGGGTGATTATCGCCGTGAATTAAGGATTCTTCCCTGACTCACGTGGGAATACTTAAGTGATTCCCAGGAATTGAAGTTAGACAGTGTAGAGTCCCACTGGTAGCTAACTATGTCCCTGCTTAAATAAAATAGTGTTATCTGACCCCTGTAACCACCATGGATTTCCTCTGCCTGGTTTTGAGTCTTGGTAACTGGCTTACAGTCACATGTCTCCTGGTTTCTTGTAGCTGTTGGAGTCACAGTATTTTTCATCTTTTTGTATAAATATCTAAACAAGAACAAGAGCGGGTAAGTCGGAGCACGAGTTCTTCTCCCTTAGTGACCCTCATCGCCCTGAGCCAGCTTCTGTGCAGCCTCAGTGTGCCCTGTGTTGCATGCAGCCTTTCTGTCACTGTGTCTGTGTCCATGTGCCCTCAGAGTCCCATGTCACTGTCCAAACTAGTCCCAGCCACTCTCAATACTGCAACCAGAGCCACCTGTGCAGAGTTGCTTCAGCTATTAAGTGACTCAGAGAACGGTGGTATTTGTGGTGTTGGCTCTGCAGTAAATCAGGGCTCTCTAATGGGGCCGTCCCTACCGTAAGCAACCCCTACTTCCAAAACTGGAATCATGAAATCCTAAATATCCCCAATGGACACGCTGAGCATTGTGTTCATTTGCATTGCCATGATTCAGAGCTCCATTTGCACGACTTAGTGAGTTGTAAGGGACCAGCTATCGATTCCGTCCAAACACCTCATTTGATTTTGTTTAGAGGGGTTACTTCACTGGGGATGAAACACAACGCAATTTGATTTCCTTCTTCTGTCCTCTTAATTTACTAGGTCACCGTAAAACTGATGGGGTTTGCCGACAGGGGTAAGATCAACAAGGTGTCTCCATGATCTTTCCTCTCCCTTTTGATCTATAAAAATGAGAAAAGAGGAACTCAGAATAGGAAAAATTGGCAGGTAAAGAATTTCTAAAGAAAATAGGGTTTGTAAGCACTACACTTTTAGTAAAAGAGTTTATAATTTCATGAAACACTTACAGTGCCTGCCATCAACCAAGATTCGATGCTTTGGGATTTCTGAAAGATAATGAGCATCTTCATTATGAAATAACTTTGGAATGAAACTTAGTAATAACTCCATGAAATTCCTGGTTCATATTTTATACTGGGGTTATTTTTCTTTCATAGTCATCATTGGGTTTGGGCTATATAATAGCAAAAGGACATCACTCATAAAGATCTCGTGTTTTTCCCATAGTCACCTTTTTCTAAATACACAGATGCTTGAAGATCTGTTGAACATAAGACACGTATGCCTGGTATTTCCCATCACTGTATTTTTAAAATCTATATCCAACCCAGTGGGACAGTTTGTACAGATCCAAAAGTTTATGTGGAAATAATATCCAAAGAAAGACAAAGGTATTCCACTCCCTGTTTTCTTTCTGTTTTAAACTTGACTGCATCAAACTACTTAAAAATGTCCTGAAGAGAATATTTGAACTCTCCACAGCTACCAATTAGTTTGGTTCTTCTGAGGCCGAGCAGTTATCTAAGCATTTTTCCTCGAGTTAAAAAGTTCAGTTGCAACAGTGAGGTTCCAAAAAATTTGCTTTGTGACTTTTAAAAGCCTGTATTTTGCGGCAAATACAATTTAGAAAGAAAAAAAATGGGCACTCTTCAAATTTTAAAGTGTTTGGGGAAGATATTTTTACCAATACAAAATAATTCTATTTATAGAAGCACCACTTGGGAGGAAAAGGGTTGTTTGTTTTTTAGCTAGGGTGGACAAGGTCATTCGTAATTGCCTTTGAACTAAAATATAAATAGTACTGGGATCTTTAAGGCTATATGCCACCTACCCATGTCATGTCAAGTAGAAATCCAGTGTCTCCTGCAATAGCTGGGTTAAGACGGAGGGCCTCTCCGTGGACTTGCGCCAAGACATTAACATCCTCGTGAGCCCCTCTAGTGCTAGGCGATTTTAATAGCTGAAGTTACTCGAACGCGTGGACTGCCTTTCTGCTGCACTTTCTGGAGTCTGTGTCCCCAACTTCAGTCTGCACATAAGCCTTTTGGGGTTCCTGTTAAGATGCAGAGTTCGTATTCACGAGTCCTGGATTGGAGCCTGAGAGCCTGCAGTTTAGTAATTACCTCCCAGTAGATAGTGCAGCTGTGTGTGGACCACACTTGGAATCACCAGAGCGGAAGCTCTTCTTGATGTGCCTCTGTTCTTGAAAGACCTATTAGCACTTTTTTTTTATGGTTAAGATCATTGGATCTTTTAAAGATTCCTCGGCAGTATGTGTGCTCAAAAAAGGAACGGTGTGAGGGGCTGCTTGACTTCATTTTGTTGGTTTTTTGTTGGAGTAAAGATTTCTCTTACATACTGTTTAATGTATATAATCTTTTCTCCCAAAGTTGGCTACTGTCGCCATAGAAACTTTTTACACAGTATAAAACATGATGGAGTTACCTCTAATTCTGAAGGAAGAGTAGATGCTCCCAAATTGCTGCTCAAGCTTGGCCGAAAAATGGATTGATGCATCGATCCATGTCCTTAAGGGGAACACTTGTACAACCTTCATCCCAAAGGACCGAATAAGCCAAAACCAAACCTACCTCCATCAAGGTGATTGTGACTCCGAGCAAGCCCGTGTAGGGTTTTTTGGAGACTCTACATCTTGATGGGAGCAGACAGCCTCTTCTTCCTCCTGCAGAGCAGCTCAGGGGTTTGAACCACCCACCTTCCACTTGGCAGCCCAGCACCTAGCCCACAGGGCCATCAGGGCTCATCATTTCTCAAGGCGATCTGGTGTTGCAGAAGTTACATGCTGAGCTGCTCACCGAAAGGTTGACAGTGAGAAGCCACTCACCAGCTCCGCAGGAGAAAGACCCGGCAGTGCGCTCCCTTTAGGAGAACAGCCAGGGCAGCCCACGGGAACAGCTCCACTCTGTCATATAATGCCCATGGGCATCCAACATTGACAGCCCCCAACAGCACAGCCTTTGTTGAGAACCTTGAAGCCTCATTTCAATGACTCGATGGAAACTGGCCCCAAAGCTTCTGTCGCTGGGAAGAGCATCCCAGATGGTCCGAAACTAGTACAGTGACATGCTTCTCTCTGCACTGGTCTGCCGAACTCCCTCATCTTGGTACCCCCCCACCCTTGTCTTGTGCTTGGCTGCCGCTCAGTTCCATGCTGCCTGCCATTGCTGTGGTGTTCTAGACAATAGCTGCCTTTTGTTTACATAATGTTTTCATTACTTGTAGTGATCCCCACCCCCACCCCCCACTAAATGCATGATTTTCTTTAGTTAATCATATCTGGATATGTGAGAGCTGACTACGTTGATTAGAATGATATATTTTACTACCTGTAGTAAATTTGTTTTCCATTGCTTTTTTTTAGTACACATTAAACCAAATTCTCATGTTAATATGGACTGATCCAATGAATTTTGTGATTTCTTTGAAGCTGTCACACTGAGATGTGACAAAAGTCTCTGTGATTTGTCAGGCCCGGTGGTTGAGAGTGCAATGACACATAATGACACGAAACAAAGAAATGATGGACAAGTGTATGGCCCCGTAGCTCATATCCTTTGACGGCCTGTCCCACAAAGGGGAATATTAGGATGTCCAAAACTAGCCTGGCTAGCCCATGGTTAACATCTCAGTGTTTGCTATGGCAAATATACTGGCAAACCTTTGGCTAGTCTGAATTTAGTATTAGTCTGCTATCAGAGTTAATTTACTAAGGCAGGCATGAAAACAGCACTGTTCCAGGCGATAGCCAAGAGTCATGTGTGGCTACTGAGGACTTTTAAAAGGACAAAACGGAAGGATCAGTTTAACTTGATTACTTTTTCCTAATTGGCTCTTCAATTCTTGTACATTCAACAAACTCTTCAAAAAGATGGTCACCAACATAACACCTAGCCGGTTTTGTGACTCGTTCAGAGAATGCATTTCTGATCTCAGTTCCAGCCTCCAAATATGGGAGACTGTGCAATATTGTTTCAGAGGAGCCTTCCCTCAAGTGGAAACCAACGTGCTGGAGGCAAAAATCAAGATGCATCTGAGCATTTATGAGCGGTCATTCCAATGAGTTCTAGGATAACAGCACATGAATATAGTCACTATGTGGCCTCAAAATCCAGGGAGCTAGAGACCGGGACACAGGCGGTTGACCTGGAGAGAGTCTGCATTGACTACTTCTCGCACTATGGGCTCGAGGGCGAGCAGAGGGAACAGAACCTTAGACTCTGCCCAGCTGGTAGATGGATCGGTGAGACTTCAAAGAGAAGTTGCTTCTTGCGTAAAACGGGTGTCAGGTCCCCGAGATGGAAAGCCTGGCGGCTTTTCTCCTCTCCTCCTGGAGAACTGGTTCCCCCGTGTGTGACCCCCGCTCATGCATCTGTCTTGGTGTGATGTCCCTGTTTTATTCCGTCCTTTTCCCTTCCTCTCCGTTCAGCGCGTACGTAATTGATGAGAGCCACAGAGAAGTAAAGTTTATTTCTCTCTGAGAAGAAGATAGCTGAAAGGTTTTCTTTTACCGTTAAAAGGTATCTGACTTTTGTTTATTTCTTTTCCATGATCCTTTCTTCCAGAAAGCCGTCTGTTCATCTGTAGATAGCAATAATGTGAGCTGTGATATGTTGGCGGGTGTCCAGTGGACATCCACTTGGCCCCAACGCTTCATGTCATCTTACCAAAACCAAACCCGTGCCATTGAGTCGAGTCTGGCTTGTGTCAGCTCTGAAGGACAAAGTGGAATTGCCTGAGAGGGTTTGCTAAACCGCAAGAATCTGGATGCGAACACGCAGCCTTGCCTCTCTCCCAGCGTGGCTGGCGGCTTCACAGAGCTGCCCTGCGGTGGGCAGCGAAGCGCTCAAGCACTGTGCTGCGAGAGTGTGTCCACCAGGATGACCTTTAGGACATCGGTCCTGCACAGGCGCAGAGGCCTGTGGCAATAGGAGTTCATCATGAGGGTCTGTCCCACAAAGGGAAATGCTGACATGTCCAAAATTAGCATGGCTCGCTGTGACCTCGGGTCAGCATCTTAGCCGTGTTTGCTACGGCAAACGTACTAACAACTGGCCAGTTCAACTTTAGTATTGGTCTGTCTAGTGCAGTTAAGTTGACCATGGCAGGGATAAAAGCACACAGGCCAATGCGGTCGTCAATAGTCAAGTGTGACTGCTGAGCCCCACGTGGAAGGGGCCGTCAGTGTCCGGCCCAGACCAGCAGTCTTAGATTTGGGACAAGAATATGGAAAGCACAGGCCCAAACCGTGTTATCCTTATTGGATTGGGTTCCATAAAATTAATGCTGCCTGTTTCATGTATAGGCATTTTCAAACCATGTGGCTTTGAGGAAATTTGAAGGCATGTGTCTAAGTCATTTGATTTCTAGTGGCCGACACTGGCTGGACTGGAGCAATGGATCTGAGAAAGGTCCCTTGTTACCCTAAAAGCCTGGGGGCGGGGGCGGAGCACAGTGCTTTAGGAGGATCTCTTACTTGAAAGAGATGCCCCCTGGAGCAAACCCAACCAAACTCACTGCCACCGAGTCAATGCTAGTGACCCTGCAGGACTGGCTAGCACTGCCCCTGTGAGCTTCCCAGACTGCAACTGTGTACTAGCGTCAAAAGCCCCATCTTTTCCCAAGGAGCATCTGATGGCTTCAAACCACTGACCTTGTGGTTAGCAGCCCAATTCCTAACCACTACGCCTCCAGGACTCCCCTGACTCCTGGACAGTGAGGTGAATGAGCCATCACTGCACTGAATACTGTTAGGACGCTGTGCTACAAAAGCTCCGGTTTGAGTGGCAGTTCTTATACTGTGATGCCGGCAGCGTCTGTCTTTAGGCTTTCCTGTCAGCCCGAGGCCCAGTGGGGAAGCCCTAAGCCCTGCGCAGGCTCCTGCCCTCCTCCTCGTTTTGTGGGGGGAGACAAAATGACAATCCAGTGATAGAA